CTCCAGGGGGCCACATGTATGCAACTTCTACGTACTTAGCACTATTTCTAGTTTATTGGTATATTCTCTACTCAAGCTCAAATACTGACTTGCCCGGGAGGAACTACCAGAGAACCCAACTCTAGTCCTCTAACGAGTATTATTGTGCAGCTCTCTTATACAGACAAGACACCGGTCTTCAAAAAGAGATGAGGGAACCCACATCACTCATATCAACCTTAAGCTCCCCTGGCTAAACTCGGGATTACCTGCTAATCTTATTGTTGAGTCTCACAATATCAATAGTTTGGCGCCCACTATGGACCCTTCATCTCTCTTTTACAAAAGAACGAGTGACCCTTTGTGCTTAAAGCTTGTAGATAAGAAGCTACCATTCTGATAGGCAAAAACGCCATGCTTACCATGAACGTTTTGGGGACCACCTCTCCAAGATATGGTCATCGTTACTCCTCTTATAAATAAGAGATATCTTTATGCTACGTACTAACCTATACACAGATTTCACCATTTGATCTCTATCAACTCGGCCCACTTCTGCTGCTAATCCTAGCATCATTCTCATGTCTACATCCAGAGCACATATGGTACTCCCCAAGGAACAAATTAAAGATACTATCTTTAAAATAAGATATTCTTTGTGTCATGTACCTATGTGCAGACATTGGCTTCCACTCAAACAACCTTGACACCCGCTTAGGGTAAGACCAATGCGTACCATCGACAAAAGATCTTGGTATCATTTTCATGAATAAAATCAAGACACGTCACCGACCCAAAAGACCTTGGCACCTACTCAAGGTAAGACCAAGGCGTGCCATCGACAAAAAGACCTTGGTATCTTTTCAGGGTAAAACCAAGGCACGTCAACTCAATCTACTTCGGCAAAAAAGACCTTGGCCTCTTTGTAAGCCTAAGGCACGTACCCTAAGACCTTGGTATCATTGAGTAAACTCAAGGCACGAGATCGAGTAGGACTACTCCCCACACATGAAGTCGAGTCATCTCGACCCGAAGGACCGATTGGTACTCAAAGGTACGCCGTTCAAATTAAAAATTAAAAATATTTATATTTGAAAATGTCTACAACGTAGAAAGTGCTAAACAAGCAAACACCAAGACTAGTGCCCACTCAGCATAAAACTAAGGCATATCGACTTGGCCTACATCACCTAAAAGACCTTAACAGGTTCCTAAGCCCAAGGCACGTACCCTACAACCTTGGTGTCATTGCAAGTATATCCAAAGCACTAATCCGAGTTGTCTCAATGCAAAAAACCAATGGATACTCAAAGGTATGCGGTTTAAATTAATAAAGACAAATGTTTGCGCCTAGAGTGTTTGCACAAGACCTTGGCCCGTTCATAAGCCCAATGCATGAATTTTAGCCTTGTGATCATATTCAACTATAAGGTATGAGATCGAGTCACCCCATTCGCTATAACAGCAACCTGTCGCTTCCCTCATAAATGTACCTTAGGACCCGGCTAGCTACAGTCCTATTTTACTAGACTCATCTACACTGAGTCCAAGTGAAAGGGGCCAAGTTATGACATCAATTAACCTAAGTGTTAATTCTCCTCTTGGAGTCAACACATGTCCCAAGTCAGCATTAATCAATCACGCCAGCTCACCCTCACCAGGGGCAACTCGGGTGGCTTGGGCACTCGACCCCTCCTGAGCTAGGATGAGTCGAGACGAGCTCCCACTCGACCTCATCAATCGAGTTGACCATCATTATTCACTCAGAGATGGGTTGACATCTTGCGTGGCCAACTCGAAAGATGGTACTTGCTAACCTACCTATTAGATCGAGCCACAAGTCTCCACACTTGGCCCACAATCTCAGCTAACAACTTACATGACCGACTCAAAAGGTTGTACTTGCCGACCTACCTATCTAATCGAGCCACAAGCCTCCACACTTGACCTACTATCTCAACCGACAACTCTCAATACTGAGTAAAAAGGCGGGATTAGTCGGTCCTCCACTGGACGACTAGAGAGTCGGTGTATCCTCGAACCTTGCGCTAATAGCCAGTCACCATCACATTAAATGCATGATCAAAGATCATCATTACTCTAGTCCCAAAAGTCTTCATGACTCATCAGACTTTGTCAGCACTAAGCAGCTGCTGTCGCTTTGCCCCAACCACCTAGACGACCCATGCCACCCACAGTCAACATTTGTCAGTTGTTTGCCGAGTCAGCTGCATGCCTGGACTTGGTCACAGTTACATATTTACCCATCTCAACTAGGTATATATAGGGGCACAGTGCCTACTAACTAAGGGACTAGAGGGGGAAGCCCCCAGGGAGCCACAAATATGCAACTTATGTATACTTAGAACTATTTTCGGTTCATTGGTATTTTTTTCATTCAAGTTCAAATACTGACTTAACCATCGGAGGAACCACCGAATAACCTAACTCCGGTTCTCTAACGAGTGTTATTATGCAGCTCTTTTATATAGACAGGGGACCGGTCTTTAAAATGAGATGAGGGAACCTACATCACTCATATTGACCTTAAGCCCCCTTGTTAAACTTTGGATTATCCACTAATCTCGTTGTTGGTTCTCAGGACATCAACACATATATTTGTATCTTTTTTTTTTAAATAGAAAGTTTCATTTTTCTTTTTATTAATGATACATTGGCGGATTTATATCTCACAGCATCTTTCTTTTAAAAAATAATCAAGATCAAGCTATAGCTCTAGTTAACATGAAACATTCCCTCGACATCTCTTTTAGTTTAGATTTTTGAGTTCAGAAAAATTTTATTGTGTTTTCTCCAAATAAAGCAGCAAATTGCAAGGACAATACAATCTCATTCATTCCTTCTAGTTACTAGTAATGGAGATTACGGTGGAGAGTTCAAAAGCCAATATAATTCTCTGTTGGATTTTTTTGGTCAAAACCGCTTTCCAAAAATTAAGTTTTCAAACTATATATTTATTAACTGCTGGTATTTTTCAGAAATCTATATTAGCCTAGTAGAAAGTTAAAGTTTTGATGTTTTAAAAGGTCCTCTATTCGAGGCTTGTTGTTGCCAACAGCAAGCCGAGAATTGTTTTTGTAAATCAATTAATCCCTCTAAGTTCTAGTGGGTCGTGGGTCGTGGGCTCGTGGGTCGTCAGCCAATGAGCTGGGGATCGGGGCTAATCTGGCTGAGGTGCTAAATGGAACTTTGTAAGGTACACTTCGCACTTCGCACGAAGGCATCGGGGCTAGATGGCGCAACGTTGGCTGCCATTGTGGCGCCGCCACGAAGGCTTCCTCGCAGGCTGCTTCGCAACAAGGGAACGTGACCCTCGCGTTCGCACGAGGGTGCTACCCTCACGTTCACGAGAGGGAGCGCGACCCTCATGTTCGTGAGGCTAGGCGCGACCCTCGCGTTGGGTAGAAATGCGACCCTCACGTTCAGACGTTTCTACATGTAGCAATTAAAGCTGCATGCAACAGTTACAATAATTAAGTTATTTGCTGTTATAATCATAATTGTCATTATAATTTGTAACATTCCAATGACCCTTGGGCTGGCCTTAGAGGACTATAAATAGAGCCCCTTAGGGTAGCTCTCATATAGACAAAAAACACATTGAAGTGTTTAAGCTGTTGTGCTACTGTTTGCAGAATTTGAAAGCATGCAAGCTTCGGTCCGTGCCCTAAGGAACAGAACCCTAAATCGAAAGGTTATTACAGATTGAAAGATCTTTGTCTTAACCGAATGGTTATTTGAATGAAAGGTTTTAACAGATAAATGAGATCTTTGCTTGAACCGAAAGGTTTTAACCAAAAGGTTTTAAACCGAAAGGTTTAACAGATCGAGAAGATCTTTGCCTTGACCGAAAGGTCTTATAGATCGAGGAGATCTTGACGGTACTTGGTCATAGTATTGTTCCTGAAAGAAGTTTAGCTTTGGGATCCTTACACCGGAGTATGTCAAATATTGCTTTAAACACATTATTTCATAAACGCACAGCAACTAAACTTGAAAAGTTTTAAAATGTAGCACTTTAGCTCTCTAACTAATTTATCTGTTTTATTCCAGATTTAGTCACATGCGCCAACAATCTTAAAGCAATATTTCTGATCTATCATGGATCCTGCGAGGACTCTTGGAGTGGACTGTTTCAAGTTAGAGAACTTAACGGATCCAACTTCAAAGCATGGCATCGGAAAGTGATCTTCGAAATGCAACTCTTGAAAATCTACTATGTGGTTTCTGAGGAGAAACCCAACTTTGAAGTAGATTATGAGTCTGAAGCCTCTTAGGCTAGAGATGATCACTTCTGCAGGAGTTATCTCATTAACTGCCTGGCTGATCAGCTAGCAGATGCTTATACTAATAAGCCCTCTGCAAAGGAAATATGGAATGCTCTGGTGGACCAGTACAAGGATGAGGAGAAGCTGTCTAAGTCTCACCTCATTGATAAGTTTCTGGACTTCAAGTTCGAAGATGACTTTGAGGTGTTGCCTCAAGTCAAAGAGCTTGAAAAGCTTGTTATGAAGCTGAAGGATGAAAAGATTAGTCTTTGTCAAACCTTCATTTCTGATACAATTGTTAACAAGATTCATCTATCCTGGATGTCATTCTCCACTGATATTCGGAGAAGGAAAACACAGGTGACTCTGTCTAATTTGAAGAGGTTCATTTCGATCGAGGATGAGATTCGAACTCGCACAAAGACTGAGCTCCTTGCTAAGCAGAAGGCGTCTGCTAACATGGTGGTTGTTAATTTTGGGAAGGATAGTAGTTCTTCTTCCAAGAGAAAGAAGAAGTCTTTTAATAAAAAGAAGAACTAGAATTCGAAGAACCTGAACGTTCATAAGAAAGAGTTCAAGAAGAGCAGCAAATGCTTCAACTGCGGGAAGTAAGGATATTTTACCAAAGACTGCAAAACACCAAAGAAGGGAATGACACACAATGTTAATCAGATAGACAACTATGTGGCTATGCTATTTTAGGTGACAACTCCCAGCAACATCTCTGGTTAGTGGTTAGATACAGGTACTACCTGTCATGTCTACTTCAACAGAGATCTATTCTCTTCTTATGTTGCTGCCAAAGAGAACGTATCAATGGCTGATCGTTCTGTGGTTCATGTTCTTAGAACTGGGAGTGTGGTGCTGACTCTTTCTTTAGGGAAAACTCACTCATTGAAGTATGTGAAACATGTTTCCTCATTTGCCAAAAACTTAGTCTTTGGAAGCCTGCTGTGTGATGCACGTATGGGGCTGGATTTCCAAGGAGGAAAGGTTGTGTTATCATTTAAGAAAATATATTTTGGTAATGCATATCGTACTGATGGCATGTATAAGATCCGTACTATTGTACCCAACTTAGTTATAAATGAAATATCATTTTCTGCTTACTCCTCTGTGTTATGGCACAATAGGCTAGGACATGTAAAAAACTGTCTAGCATGGAGAAGTTAGGATTACTTCCAAAATATGGGTGTAACAAACCTGAGAAGTGTGAAGTCTGCATGCAAGCGAAGCTAACAAGGAAGCCTTTTTCAAGTGTTATAAGGAGCACCAATCTGTTGAATCTGATTCATTCAAATACTTGTGACTTCAAGAGCTTTGTCACTCAAGGCAGCATGAAGTATATCTCACCTTCATTGACGACCATTCTTGTTTTTGTCATGTCTACCTGCTAAAATCTAAATATGAAGCTTTCAGCAAGTTTGTCGAGTTTCAGACTCGTGTGGAGAAGTGGCTTGGACTTCAGGTGAAAATACTCAAGAGCGACAAAGGAGGAGAGTACCAATCTAAGGAGTTAGAAGCATACTTCAAGGAGCATGGAAATATTGCTGAAACTACTGCTCCGTATTCTACGCAATCCAATGGGATTTTAAAAAGAAAGAATTGCACATTGACCGAGATGGTGAATTCAATGCTAATCATATCTGGTCTACCTACATGCTATTAGGGAGAGACTATGCTGATGTCAAACTGGATTCTGAACAGAGTACCCTATTCCAAAACTAACAGTACTCCTTATTAATTATAGTTGGGATATCCATATCCTTTGGATGGTCTCAAAATGTGGGGGTGTCTCATATATGTTCGAGTTCTAGATATCAGAAGGCCTAAGCTCAGACCAAAGGCAAACAAGTGTGTGTTTCTTGGCTTTGCTGAAGATAGCGATGCTTACAGATTTCTGGACCTTGGAACCAACTCCGTCATTAAAACTCAGGATGCAGAATTCTTTAAGAACAAGTTTATCAAGGATAAAGATTTATTGCTCAAAGATATAATAGAGAATACTGGTACGTCAGATGCACCAGAGATCATTGAAGCTCGGGATGTAGAATACTTATGCAAAAATATACCAGAGGATGCTAAACGTCAGAAGCACTAGAGGACTCAGTTTTGCAAGAAACTAAAAGTGTTAATGATGAAGGAGTTACCGAACCACCTTCTAAGCGTGTCAAAAGATAGAAAGATTGAGATGACTTCACCACCTATAATGTGGAAAGAGATCCATAAACTTTCTAAAAATTAATGCAGTTAATAGACGTTCTTCTGTAAAAAAAAGCTATAGATGATGAGATGAATTTATTGATTCAAAATCACACTTGGGTGCTAGTGGATGTACCTAAAGATGCAAGGCCTATTAGTTGCAAGTGGATCTTCAAGAAGAAGATTTGTCTGATGGTACTATTGAGAAGTACAAAATAAGACTAGTGGCAAAAAGATTCTCTCAAAGAGAAGGAATATGTTTCTTTGATATCTATGCACCGGTTTGCAGGATTACTACCATCAGAGTGTTTATCGCATGGGTGGTGATAGAAAGGTTTGTCATACATCAGATGGATGTGAAGACTGTCTTTCTCAATGAAGATCTCACAAAAGAGATCAACAATAAAAAACCAGAAGGACTTGATGCTCCAGCTAGTAAAGTTTGTAAACTTGTTAAGTCTCTATATGGACTTAAGCAGGTACCAAAACTCTGGTATGAGAAGTTTTATGGGGTTGTTTGCAATAATGGGTATCTAGTCAGTAAATGTGACAAGTGCATATACATCAAGGTCGCTGAAAAAAAGATAGTGGTTATCTGCCTCTATGAGGATGATATGCTCTTCATCAGGAGTGATTTGAAGATAGTAATATCTACTAAGAAATTTCTTTCAGCACAGCTCAGCATGAAGGACCATGGAACTACGGACGTGATTCTCGGAATTAAAATCATATACTCTAAAGAAGGTACTGGATTGTCCTAATCTTATTATGTTGAGAGCATGCTAAGAAAGTATGGTTATTACGACCTATCAGAACTGTCAGTGCCATATGATTACAACAAAAAGCTACGACCAAACACTGGAAGACCAATAGAGCAGCTAAGGTACTCAAAGTACATTGGGAGTCTTATGTACGCGATGAGCTCCACAAAGCCAGACATAGCATTTGCTATAGGAATGCTAAGTAGGTTCCCAAGTAATCCTATAAACCTTCATTGGGATGTTATTCAGAGATTAATGAGATACTTAAAAGGAACTACAGGTCTGTGCCTATTCTACACTGGATATCCGGCTATAATCGAAAGCTATTTAGATGCGAGTTGGTGCTCAGAACCAGATGAGTGCAGATTTACTGGTGGTTTTATCTTAACCATGGGTGGAGCTGTCATCTCGTGGAAGTCTAAGAAACAGACTATGATTGCACAGTCATCGATGGAATCTGAGTTCTTCGTACTCTGTACTACAGGCGATGAAGCTGAGTGACTCAGTTGTTTTCTCCGAGACCTTCCATCGACAGAATTGTAAGGTGTAATTACTAACTATTGTGATAATCAGGCGGCGAGTGTTGTGGTAGAGAACTCGATGTTCAATGGAAAGAAATGAACTATTCGTCTGAAGCATGGCTATTTAAGAGAACTCATTTGCCAAGGAGTCATCTCTGTGATTGACATCCGGTCTTTAGAGAATGTGGCTGATTCTTTGACTAAGGGTCTGAAAAAGGACATAATCGAAAGGATGTCTGCTGGAATGGGTCTCAAAATTTTGTGAGTCTTACAAATACTTTCTATGTACATCAAGTTATTAGTTCAAATATGCTACTAATGATAAGATAATTGGTTCAAAAGTCAAGTAAGATTTACAAAGTTTGGTGACTCTTACAAATACTTATCATTTACATCAAGTTATTAGTTCAAAACTTACGCTACTAATAATAAGATGATTGGTTCAAAAGTCAAGCAAGATTTGCAAGTGAAATCCTATCATAGTATAGAGGATGGTTGTTAAGCCTTAATGAGTCCAAAGCATTTCGAATATGGGCTGTTAGATAGGTAACATGCCTAAAGGACTCACCGATGATCCTATCATATAAAGAGAATGGTTGTTAATCCTTAATGAGTTCAAAGTATTTCGGATACGGGGTATTAGATAGGAAACACGCCTAAAGGACTCACCTAGAATCCTATCATGAGAGAGGATGATTCTTAAGCCTTAATGAGTGCAAAGCATATCAGATGCGGGATGTTTGATAGGAAACATGCCTAAAGATCTCATCTAAGCCTGGGTGGAGATTTAGTCGTCTCCTATGATGTCTTGTTGAAAGATATCTAGAGCCCTAGCAGAAACCAGGATATGCACATGGCCATAAATGTGTAAGGCAAATGCAAAGGCAAAGGCAAGTGTGGTTCAAAGTGAAAAACTACCATAGATGAGTTTGATCTTGTGTGACCACTAGATATTTAGACATGTGCTGGTTCAAGTCTCTGTGATACCATGCATCTATCTTTTATTAAGTTGGTCTAAAGGGGATTCAAGTCCTTACAACATCTACCTTATGCACAATGATTGAAACAACGGTACCATTACACGACACTAGTTTAAAAACTTGTGGGGGATTGTTGGATTTTTTGGTCAAATCCGCTTTCCAAAAATTAAGTTTTTAAACTATATATTTATTAACTGCTGGTATTTTTCAGAAATCCTTAGTAGCCTAATGAAAAGTTAAAGTTTTGGTGTTTCTAAAGGTCCTTTGCTCAAGGCTTGCCAACGGCAAGCCAAGAACTGTTTTCGTAAATCAATAAATCCCTCATAAGTTCTAGTGGGTCGTGGGTCATGGACTTATGGGCTGTGGGCCGTGGGCCAATGGGTCGGGGATCGGGACTAATCAGACTGAGGCGCTAATTAGCATTTTGTAAGGCGCACTTTGCACTTCGTGCAGAAGCATCGAGGCTAGGTGGCGCCACGTTGGCTGCCATTGTGGC